GACTTTTTCCATTTTTACTCCAAACATTTCTTTCGACAGGCGATTGAGCAGGTCTTTGTTAGCAGCTCGGTCTTTTTTAAGTCGACCTGAAACATCACTTATTTACAGTTCTGTTGAAAGAGACCTTGAAATCGCTTCCAATCCTTTTCCAGAATGTCAATGCACAGGATGTTCTTTTGAAACTCACCGATTACGTATCCTGAGAAATATCACAAAAGTTAAGTTTGAACACCAGACTTACATCTAATCTCTTTTAGAGAAGGATATTTTTTCACCAGCAAACCCTGAGAAGGCGAACTCGTTAGTGCGCGACCGATCCTGCAGTTGACGGTATGAGAGAGGTAGAATGTACCAGTATGGTAAAACAGTTTACCATTTCAGCGCAGATTTTGAAGTTATCTTTCCCGCTTTCTTCTTCTTCATGAAATCGAGTACCTAGAACTGAATGATTGAAAAGGGCATGACAAGAAATTGCTGATGAATTCTTTTTACCTCGAACACAAAGTCACGGATCTGGTCATTCTTCTCAGCTTCCTTTGCTGTGTCTTGACAAGTTGGATTATTCGGTTCATCCTAGAGTTCTGACAATTTACAGAAGAAAAGAAATTCCCTTCCTAGACGTTCTAGTAATTGTAATTATTGCCTATAGAGTGCAAAAAATTAAACTTGACTTCTGAACGTCAGTACTGACCATCGTGTGATCATTAACCTCTTCCAATTTTTTTCCGAACATTTCTTTTGCCAAACGATCAAGAAGGTCATTGTCAGCGGTATTTGACGAATCTTCGGTCTCAGGAACACCTGAAATGTTAGCTTGTTGACATTCTTTGCTGAAAATTAAAGGGTAAAGGATAAAGTTTTTGGCGTTAATCAATCCCGTCTGAGGGATGCGCCCCCACACTCGACTTCCATTCAGAATCGTAGTGGCGTAATGAGTGCGTATGTGGCCTATACAATGACTTGCGGTGGCCAGCCGATGTACAAGTCAGTGCTTTATCCTCCCAGACGAGTCTGGCACCAATTCACCGACCCCGGGAGGATGGAAGGCTTGGTTGGCCTAGACACGCATCGATCCGGGATTCGAACCCCTGACCGTGCGTGTGATATAGTGCGCCACTTGCCACTACACCACCTCCGCCCTTGCTGAAAATTAACCTTGGAAATGACTGAAATATCTCTTTTTTTGAACAATATGTTGCAGCTCCTCGGTTACATGACCCATGTAGTGTTACACGGTTCAAGGTAGAAAAACGGCAAAGCTACCACTGCGGAAATCGTTAATGTCAAGAAAAAGATTACAATTTTGAGCTGGGAATTGGGGGCAAACTCACCACCGAGTTCCTTGAGAGTAGGATACTTCTTCACCAACAAGCCCTGAGAAGGAGAACTCTTCAGCGAGCGTCCGATCCTGTAATCGATGACACAGAATAGGTAGAAAAGACGGAGCGGTCATATTGCTTACCCCTTCAGCGCCCATTTCGGACTCAGATTCCCAGCTCCCACCTTTTTCATTAAATGAACCACCTGAAATGGGATGATTATGAAATGCAGATCATATGAATTTCGCTATGAATTTGGCTTACCTCGAACACGAAATCACGGACATCGTTATTCTTTTCGGCTTCGTCTGCCGTACTTTTCGCAGTTGGATTTTTCGGATCGTCCTGCAGTTTCCACAGTTCACAGAAACAAGACCAAATTCTTAATTCTTTTTAATGCTTTTTATATACTGTTTCTAATTGCTGTTGAAATTTATCTGTTACACAGAGAAGCGACAGTTCTCCTTCAAGCATCAGGTCTAAACTCATGCACTGACCAGGATATGTTCGTTGATTTCCTTCACTTTTGCTCCAAACATTTCTTCCGCCAAACGATTAAGAAGGTCAGCGGTACTTTGCGGCTTTTCGGACCCACGAACATCTGGAACCTCAGCGTTTGTTGTATCTTTGTGTAACAGAAACTTTCGAAACGATTGCAAACTCTCTTTCAATTGTAGATGGAGAGAAAGTCTTTTGAGAACTCATCGATCACGTACCGAAGAAAAGATTACAAACACATGCGTCACATGCAGTTCCGTTGTTCATCTAATTCATTGAGCCGGCGCCAGTAAAGTCTTCATTTATCCCTGACGCGAGTCAGAGTAGTGCAATGGATCGTATTTGTTTAATAAACACGGAGCTAAGCATTTCTTTCGTTCAGAGCTCACGTGAAAAGTCTGAACATCGCACTGGCGACCAGTCTCGTGTTCATTTGACGTTAGGAGGGATCCAGTCGGTAACCGTTGTGGTCCAACGACATCAAGATATTGCATAGTGTCCTAGTGATCTTCGATTTCATGGGGTGAGCATAGGTATGGCTGATCTTCGCTCGATGACGGAGTCAGCATTCCAGATTCCCTTCTGCACTTGCGTGCATTGGGGAATACTCAGCATCACCCCTTTCGAAGCGCGTTAAGCGACGCTAACATCATGCTCATCCTGCTTTCGTCACCGAGGCTTACTCAAAGCAAGAAGTACACGGGGCCGGGTTTTTCTCCCCGAAAACGGCGTCGCATTCGCCGTACCCGATGGTGCGCATTCGCGTGCTATGAAGGGAAAGCCTTGGATTTACAGTGGAAGGATAGGGTAATCGCCGCGTGACTTTTGCCGCTTGCCGTGGGAACTCGGGAAGAACTTACGTTACTCAAAAGGACAGCAGTCTTTAACAGGTAAGAGGTAAGAGGTTCTTCACCACTCCCTCGATGTTTTCGAATGCTCCTCCCGCGGCGCCTATCCTTCTTCTCAGCTCCGAGCTACGTCATCCGTCATGTTGACATTCCCGACCTAGATACACGTAGCTAGAGCATTCGGAGATAACCATTTCGCTCAGAATGAAAGGATTATTGGGTACTGATCTTTTTTTCCTGAACGTCTTCATTAAGTCCAGTCTAAAACCGATCATTTCGCGAGGCCGTCATTTTTTTTGAGCATTCGTTGTGTTCTTCTGTATATTCGTTGTTGTAAGTGCGATGTCATCTGCGAACTGGTGGTGATGTAAGAAGCTGCCGTCGTCTCTCATTCCAAAGTCCTTCCACTTCAAATAACGCATGACGTTCTCGAGAGCGGCACTGAGAATTTTGGGCGAGATCGTATCGCCCTATCGAACCCTATTTTACAGTCCTTGTATATTCAGTAGGAACGCCCTAAAACGTCCAGGGCTTGCTTCACGTCATCTATCCCGACGGTATCAAGAGCTTTCTTCAAATCGATAAAAGTTGGACGGAAGTCATGGCTTCGCGATACTTTCATGTGTATTGTAACAGTGTGGATGGGCTTGATAGTGCTGAATCCTCTCCGGAATCCTCATGACTGTCCTACACCTAATATTCTGCCAAACCCTGTTGAAGATGATGCGGGTAAATAGTTTTGATTACAGACAGCAGACACGATGACAGTGACCGGGCCTCGCTACTTCTGTCAGGATGGGGTACCATGCAATGCTCCATCGATGTGATGACATGTTGAATTTTGGAAGGAGAAGTGAAGGGACGACATATCCCTCTTGCCTAAGATGGCAAGTAGGCAGATGGTGGCTGCCCAAGAGATCAGAGCAAAAGTCGTAGATGACCTCTACCATTGCCGTTCGAGATGAAGGGAACTTATTCAGGTCTTATAGTTCGCAGAACTACGATAGGCCTCGTAAATGCTCTTACCGGCATCGGCGGCTTCGTCCGTAACAGCTTTGTTTCTGCCTCTTGGGAATTCCCTTATCGCTTCTCTGCATAGCTTAGCAAACTCGACCACTTGTTTATGAGTTTCTGAACCTGGCGTAATCTCTTATATCTTAGCTAGTCATAATATTTTGCTTTGTCAGCACTATCGTGAAGATGTTCGACAGGCCAGTTGCATCCTTCATTAATGTTGTCGATAGCGGAATCGTTCCAGGAGCTCGTAAGAGAAGCGAAGTAGTCCCAGTTGACAACAGTCTTGAACCTTGTTTACCGAACTTTGCAGCCCTCTTTCCACGCACTGAGAAAGAGAATCTGGGAAGGGATGCAGTGGCAATCCTGTGTAGAACTTCGGAACTACAGCGACGTTTCTGAGGCAAAACCACCGTTTGAAGGTGATGTGGTCTACTTTATCAGGAAACTGTCGACCACGTGACTCCCGTGTCCATCACAAATGGGAGGGTTTTTGGAACTGCGAGTTACCATGGACGTTGCGGATCGATGTGACAACTCCGATACTCTTTCACCACGCCTACTCGCTTCCGTTCCGTTTCCAGTTCTTCTTATTTGTAGCTCGATGCTGGTATGTAGTTAACAAACATTGATAGATATAGGGTCAAGCCACAAATTCTGTGCCCGATTTGGGCTGTCAAGCTTTCGTACGAATCGATCTCCATGACCAGCTGAATAAAGATGAGAACACCTATGCCGCCAACGCCTCTGTTACCACATTTTCTATAGAACAGTACGTTTGCAATATGTATTCGGCGGAAAATTCAGGACGCGCTCACCTGCGATTTCTTTGAGAGTAGGATACTTCCTCAACAGCAAGTCCTTAGAAGGCGAATTCTTTAATGATCGCCCGATCCTGCAAATACGATATTGAAGAGGCAGGAACTACTAGAACCGTCATACAGTATACCCTTTTCGAGCCCATTTCGGAGTCAATTTTCCCGCTCCCGCCTTTTTCGTTAAACCAAGCACCTAGAAGTGAATGAAGGTGAAGCGCAAGACAAGAAATTGTTTATAAATTTCTGTCACCTCAAATACGAAATCATGGACGTGTTCATCCTTTTCGGCTTCCTTAACAGTGCTCTGCGCCGTCGGATTATCTGGCTCACTCTGCAGTTACAACAGTGCCAGAAATTACTGTTTTTTAATTATTCACGTACTGATAATTGTGATTATTGGTTTCTCGTTGTTGTGATTGTATACAGTGCACATAAGGTTGAACTTCAACTTTGAAGAGCAGGCCTAATCTGCTGTACTGACCAGGGTATGATCGTCGACTTTATCCATTCCTTTCCCGAACATTTCTTTTGATAAGCGATCGAGAAGTTCCTTGTCGGTTATATTTGGCGGCTCTTCGGTATCACGAACATCTGGAACGTTAGATTTTGTCGACATTTTTTGTAGAAACTGACCATGTATACGATTGCAATGTGTTTTTCGAATAGTACCAGTCGTATTGCATTGTTTTTATCCTCCCAGTACCGATTCACCGACCCCGAGAAGATGGAAAGCTTGGTTGGCCTATGCGGATATCGATCCGGGATTCGAACCCGTGACCATGCGTGTGTGAAGCGGGCCAGTTGCCACTACACCACATCCGCCTCAAAGATGGATAAACTGGTTTAGTTATTTTGCGACACGCTGGAGAAGTGCTTCATCGAAATTCACTAAATGTTTGAGAGTAGTCAAGTTGTGAGTTTATGTGATAGTCTTAGTAGGTTTTTGCTTGTGATAGCCTTTGCCCTGCAGCGAGTTCAATTTCATACACAGAAAATGGCAAAAGTGGTTTTTCACCAAATATCAGTTTTGCAAGCGATTGAAATGTTTTTTATAAGTTAAACTACACAGGTAGAGAAAGAAAAAACCGAAGCACCTTTTCCAGTATTCATTAGTTAGAAGAAAGATCTGATAAAGTTCCGATGTCGAAAGAGGAAGATACCGGAATTTAACTGAAAAAAGGTTGTACTCACCTGCGATCTTTTTTAGAGTAGGATACTTTTTCACGAGCAAGCCCTGAGAAGGCGAGTTCGTTAGTGAGCGACCGATCCTGCAATCAGTGATATGAGAAAGGTAGATAAGGGCGGAACGGTTGCATTATGTACCCCTCTAGCGCCGACTTTGAGGTTATTTTCCCAGCGTTCTTCTTTTTCATCAAATGAAGCACCTAGAATTAATCGAATATAAAGTGCGAGTCAAATGAACTTGATCATAAATTTTGGTTACCTCGAACACAAAATCGCGAACTCCATCATTCTTTTCAGCTTCATTTGCCGTACTTTTCGCAGTCGGATTTTTCGGTTCATCCTGTAGTTTTCATAAATCACGAAAAAATATTATTTTCCTTTCTATTCACGTCCTCTAATTGTGATTATTGCATTTACAGTGGATATGAAAGTTTATATTGTCCTTTGACCATTGGGTATGAATTGTTGTACTAACCATCGTCTGATCATTGACTTCTTCCAATTTTTCTCCAAACATTTCTTTTGCTAAACTATCAAGAAGGTCATTGTCAGCAGAACTTTGCGGCTCTTCGGTTTCAGGAACATCTGAGATTTTAGTTTTGTTGAAAATGTTTGTCGAAAAGTATGTTCGAAAACATTGCAATCATTTATCAAGATGCATCCCAGGAAGACCTTCCAGAGCCTATTAACTTCGTATGAGGAAGATGTTTACAATATTCAGCCAAAAGAGAGTAGCGAACTCACCTGCGATTTCTTTGAGAGTGGGATACTTTTTAGCGAGCAAGCCCCGGGAAGGGGAATTCGTTAATGATCGCCCGATCCTGCAATAGATGAAATGAGAGAG